GTCAACAGCGGCCTCACTTTTGCCTTTGGTGTTGGGATTCCGAACGAAGGTACGACAACGTCGCGGAAGACACGCAAGTGATCTGCTTTCTCTTCCGGTGTATATGACTCTGCGCTGTTGAGCAGAGTGTTGAGAAGTGGTGCGCATTTATCCCACCACCACCGGTGCTTTGGGTTGAGGGGAGGGTCGATAGGGATAGTGCCGTCGTTGACACTTGAGGAGAAGGCGTTGAACTTCTGAGGGGACCTTAGAGGTGCTTCGAGACTATCCTTTACAGGATTGTAGATGGCTGCTGGTGCCATGCTGAAGTCAAAGGAAGTATGTGCAGCGCAAAAGTTCAGAGGAATGAGATGGAAATACTAACTAGTCATGCTCAGATGACGCTGACATGCAGGAGGTAGGGCATCCTTTAATCTTTATAGCTTCACCAGAGTCTGGGCATCCTAATTAAACACCGTTCGCCTCAAGTGGAAACTTCCTAATCAGATTTACGTTACACTCCTTCAACCGAGATACTCGTGGACATGCAAATTAGACCGAGGGCCGAAGGCTACTGTCTTCCAGTCGGTCAACTTTGTCCGTCGTCGTGCTCAAAAGGTCGCCGTTTACGTTCAAGGCGAGAACAAACATTGAGTTTGATCCGGTATCAAGTCACGACAACGTCACTGCAATGCAGCTGTTTGGTGGACTATCGTGCTGCGGGCAGTGCATGGATATGCTGACTACTTACAGGCACTTACTCAGTCCTAGTAACCTTTCATCTTGAAGTTGAGCAAGGAGGCTGTGGCCTGCCTGCTGTCAAGCTTAGATAGCCGGAAGCCGCGTGCTCAGTTAAAACGCGGAGACACTTCGAAACAAACAAGGACAGCCTAGTCGTATAGCTCTACAAAGATCAGGCGAAACCATAAGCCATGGCAGCGTATGATTCACTTCGTCAGCGAAACACTCGAATCCGTGGGTATTCGTATAAGGCAGGTAAAGATGGCTTCTTGTCGGCGCCCGTCACTTGTCTACTCAGTGTCATTTTGAGAAGCTTGGCCGAGGGCTGAAATCCGAGTTCGGCAACTTAAACACAACTCTAAACATCCCACTTGATCAGACGATAGGACCGCGGCAGAGATGGCCATGATTATGAATTCGCCGCACCTTCCGTAATTATCGGTAGTTTACCATTGCCTTTTCAATGAGACATGTAGTCTTGAGCTTTTTCTGTACTTCCTTAGTCAGGTGAGGATGATTATACGGACGTTCCCACCGGACTCTTGGAAGTTTGATTCAATGCCACGCAGCCGGTTTGGGGAATTCCAGGAGAGACTCTCTCATCAGGAACGGGCCTTGTGATGTAGAAAATGTTTGATATCAAGCAGTCCAAGTGCTACTCCGCGCTTGCGGCCCCGCGCGGACTGGATTCGCGGTCATCTGTGGAGGCCGAACTTCCGAAAATCCGCCATGGTATGGATATTGACAAGAGCTCATCCTGAGCTCTAGATCTCAGTGAGGTATAAGCTCACGGACGTCATAGACTGGAAGCTCTCGTCAATAAATGAACTGTCCCCCCTCTTCTAAGCTAAAACTTTCGAGTCCAACTACGTGATTACATACGACAAGATTGTCGAAGATTGTATCATCTTCCAAATTTACTTAGAATCGCATTGAATCTTCAACATCATTTCAAGACTACAAGACCATCTATATTAACATGGCACCAGGCGTCACGTCGGCTAACGGGGGGCACGCATCGAATGGCGGGGCGCCGGCTCCTCGGTTTCTGCCTCCTGGAGTTTCCATGGAGAAATTCCATGAGTTCGCAGCAAGCCTTCAAAAGGCAGTCGGAAAAGACAACCTCCAGATCATTACCAAAGATACCCCGCTAGATGATGGCGACTATCAAACCGTTGATTGCCAGACACACGACATGCACTCCCTCTACGAGCGTGAGGAGTTCGTCGGCAGCGCGCTCATTCACCCCCGAAATGTGACAGACATTCAAGCAGTCATCAAGCTCTGCAACGAGTATCTCGTTCCTGTGTGGACGTACAGCAAAGGTCACAACATCGGCTATGGCGGTGCCGCTCCGAGAGTATCCGGAAGCTTGGTGATGAACTTGGGAAAGCATATGAATCGCATCATCGAGGTCAATGCCACGGACTGCTACTGCCTTGTTGAGCCTGGTGTCACCTATTTGCAGATGCAGAAGTATCTCGATGACAACGGCCTGCGGGACAAGGTGTGGCTGGACTCGCCGGAGCTCGGCTATGGCTCCATGATTGGAAACGCACTGGACCATGGCGTGGGCTTCACTCCCTACGGCGATCACTGGATGATGCACTGTGGTATGGAAGTCGTGCTGGCCAGCGGTGAGGTCGTTCGCACGGGCATGGGTGCGATGCAGAGTCCCGAAGGCCGCAAGCAGGCAGCCCAAGGGGTACCGCCCCAGGATCAGCATCAGAACGAGTGTTGGCAACTGTTCCCTTACGGGTTTGGTCCAATCAACGACGGAATCTTCTCCCAGAGCAACAACGCAATCGTCACGAAGATGGGCATGTGGGTGAGTTTGGATCCATGAGAGCAGGCCAATTTGGTCACAAGATGAGGCAAAGCTAACTGATGGATAGCTCATGCCGGCACCGCCGGGAATAACTCCCTTCATGGTGACATACGAGAAGGATGAAGATCTTGAGGCCGTCGTCGACATCATTCGTCCGCTTCGTGTTGTAAGTTGCTGCCCTGAGACCTGATGAGTAACGCAGCTCACAAAAGTCTACAGAACATGGTTCTCCAGAATGCAGCCAGTCTCCGTCACATCTCGCTCGATGCGTCGCATTACCACCCCCGCACAGCCTACACTGATGATCCCAATACCCCGCTCACGGAAGAGCAACTGGATGCTGCGGCGAAGAAGGTCGACCTTGGCCGCTGGGTTTACATTGGTGCGGCCTACGGGCCCGAGCCGATCCGCAAAGCCCATCTCGAAATCACTAAGCGTGAGATGACCAAGGTTCCCGGAAGCCGATGGTTCCTGCTTGAGGATCGTAAAGAAGAGCACAGCACCTTGCACTGCCGTGCTGACACTATGCGAGGCTTGCCGACATGGGACGAGCTAAGGTGGCTCAACCAGTAAGTGCCCAAATGCCACATTTCCAGGTTACAGCTTTGACCAGTGTACTCAGATGGATCCCTCACTGCACATTCTTGTCGTTCTCGCCAATTTCTAAGGTTGATGGCAAGTCTGCCATGAAGCAGTACACGATGGCTAAGAAACGCTTCGCGGAGGCAAAGTTGGACTACTTTGGTATTCTCAGTATTGGCATGCGTGAGATGCGTAAGTCATCCATCACCCAGCTTGCCGCTTGGTCATCATGAGGCTTTGAAGTTTGGTTACTAACGCGAGGTTGCACAGACAACATTGTGTGCATCGTTTATAACAGGGAGGATCCCGACATGCGTCGCCGTGCGCAGTGGCTCGTCCGTACCATGATCCAGGATTGCGCAGACAACGGCTGGGGCGAGTTCCGTACTCACGTCGCTTTAATGGATCAGATCGCGGACACGTACGACTTCAACAATCATGCACTTGGCAAGTTGAACCAGACTATTAAGGACGCGTTGGACCCGAATGGCATTCTGGCACCTGGAAAGAGCGGCGTTTGGCCCAAGAGCTACGATAAGTCGAAGTATGTTTTGAGCAAGGACTACATCAAATAATTTATAGCGGGGCCCGACCTATAGTATCATAGTCACATCACGCACGGCTTAGCAAATGAGAACCTTCACTTGATATACTAAGGTTTTTCGAAACAATGACTGGCTTAATTGTGAACGATGAGTAAAGTCTGATCGCTTGTTCAGTGAGCGTTATACTTCGGGATATCCTCATCCACGTTGCGAAGAGTCACTGGGGTTATCGTAAACGGTTGGGGAGCGCCAGCATCGGACACAAGGCAATGTGTGCAACATCGCATTGTCGCGCCATTTCTGCGCCACCCGCTGCTGCAATCCTTTATATTCTACTGCAACGGTCTGGATTCCAACAAAGCATGTCGCTTAATAATCAGCCCTGATGGTCTAGCGGTATGATTCTCCCTTAGGGTCTTCACGATATATCTGGGAGAGGTCCCAGGTTCGAATCCTGGTTAGGGCCCAATCCTTTTGCTTTTGGTCACTAATTGACTGGCACATCTTATTATTATGTGTTCTTAAGTTTTTGTGTGTTAAGTTCAAAATGAAGTGGACAATTTGCTAATTGGAGTCAGACACAACTAGTGTGACCACACAAGAAATTAACTAAGAGATTCCAGCCCCTGTCTGATCTTGTCCGTCATACGAGCTGAGGCTTTCCTGGTAGCAACTTTGTGATGATTCTCACTTCCATTAGTAATGACGATCGGCTTCCAGCATGAAGCGCGAATATCCGTGGCCTCGGTTTCAGATCACCGACAAAGGTTCTCAGTTCCCAGCACTTCCGGACTCCGGATACGGGCCGTGTCAAGTTGATCAAGTTGGGACGAAAGCCCACGCTGGGGAAGGCCTGCATGGAATCTTGGATGCATCAGCATGACCAGCATCTACATTGGGTGAAGGGTTGTTTCGGCATCGGGCAAAAGCCAATAGACTTTTCGTATGTCAACTTTCCAAGAAGCTTTGCTAGCAGGCTGACCTGACTCTGGTCTTAGTCCCGGTTGTCGTTCATAGCCTCCCTCATGGGAACATATCAGGCGTGCGGGAGTGCTTTGAAATAGCGTTTTTGACCTGTCGTCATTCTCAGAACTGAAGTCACGACTGACGAGACGTAAACACCAAAACGCGTTTGCTCCTTTACCTTGCATAGATCTGGCTCACCTTATCGTCCTTAAAGCTGTCACAAACACCTTGGGAAGCTTTCTAATCGACACCATCGTATGGTAAACCTTGCCATTTCAACGGCGAATAGTATTCTTCTTCAGAATCTAAAAATTGAACTTTTTGAAGATTAAGACCGAGAAGTGGAAGCAGATTACAAAATGTCCAGAGAGTCCGCAAATCCAACAGTGGCTCTGGTGACTGGAGCCAACCAGGGCATAGGCTATGAAATTGCCAAGCGACTTGCCTCGGAACATCCAGATTACCATGTCTTCATGGCAGGGCGACGGAAGGAAGCCATCGAGAAGGCAGCTTCGGAGCTCCAGGAAGCCGGTTTGAATGTCGAGCCTCTAGTTCTCGACATCACATCCGATGACAACATCGACTCGGCCGTCGATACAGTCCGCACAAAATTTGGCCGTCTCGATGTCCTCATCAACAATGCGGGAATTCTCTTGGGCAAGCCCGATGACTCGATCCGGCAGAAGCTCGCGACGGTCTACAACACCAACGTCTTTGGTTCTATCGCTGTCACAGACGCTTTTATCCCTCTCCTTCGCGAGTCTTCCAAAGTGAAGCGCGTCGTCTTCGTCAGTTCGGGGCTGGGGAGTCTTGCGATTCGGACGGATCCTAGTCTGGGACCTGTGAGGGACTTTATTGAGTATGGTTCCAGCAAGGCCGCGCTCAACCACGCTGCGATGACTTTTGCGTCCAGGTACAGGGACGATAAGATGTGGAAGTTCAACATTTGTTGTCCTGGCTACTGCGCGACAAACATGAACTCGTACGAGGGGCCTGATGAAGCGTCGTTGGGATCGGTTCAGGCGGTGCATTTGGCAACCTTGGGACCTGATGGCGCGAGCGCAACGTTTTCGAACCGACATGGGCCAATTCCATGGTAAACTTCCGATGATTTGGTCAGGTAGCGGGATGAAGGTTGGTAGACACATGTTGAGTTAATACTCCAAATAATGGTCCCACATCGACACTCTCTTAATCGTACCTTATGATGGATCAATGGGCCTGACCACGGGAACCAAGAATGAACGATGAAAAGGTTAGGGAATCCCTATTAAAACAACTAGCAAATCAGTGCTCAGAGCGCGATAGATCGTCAATTGCATCCAATTCCTCATTCATCACTTAGCGAAGTAATTGCTGTGTTGGCGTAACACCACTATCGTGGATTGGCCTGAATGAGCTCAGGGTTTGACAAGGGAACAGCGAGAGCGCGCCAATTGGGCGAATGTCTCCATGTTCTTACAAGGGCGCAGCTGCACCAGGTTCCCCGCTCCAAATCATCTCACACTTCAACAAGAAGTTCCCTTACCCGATTGCATCTTCAATTGCTTCCAGCAATAAAAGTTGAACAGACCCGCAGTCTTCATGATGGATGGGCAAATTGTTAGACGACCCTACAAAGGCTCATGCCATTGTGGTGCGACGCAGTACATCGTCTTCCTCTCATTTCCACACACTCTACCTCCGGCGCGTTTCCCCAGGGCCGAATCGCGAGCCCATCAAGACTTCTACAGATGCAACTGCACCACCTGCCACAAGGCCGGAATCTTTCACATGCGCCTTGCATCGGCCCCGGATGACTTTCTCCTCTTGAGGCCCCTCGATCCGTACAAAGACTTGGGCGACTACACGGCCTATGAGAAAGACCTGCACTTTCTCTTTTGTAAGAGCTGTGGCATGCGATGCTTCACTTTTATGGGAAAAGGCGAGGTGGTGGACATAAATCTAGCGGCCCTAGGAGTCGGTGCCGGGGCCGACCCCGGATCGGAGGAGGAAGGGGCCCACAGCAAAGACGGACCGGCGGCTACGGCTGCGGCCGGCGAGAAGAACATGGCCAAGGTGTGGAGACCGAAGAAGGAGGGGTGGGTGGAGGGCAAGAAGTTCGGAAGCTATTTGAGTGTCAACGGATATTCCGTCGACGCCGGCCAAGATGGTTTCGATCTACGCGAGATAACGGAGAAGAAGTGGGTTGGGTATTGTGATTGGCTTGAGCTGCATTCCGAAGGGTCTCAAGGGACTCGACATGATCGGCCCTGGGAAGGCGGCGCCTATTGAGCTGGTGAGGTTGGTTCGAAATGGGCCGGTTAGTCAAATCCCGGAGTGATAGGGGAATGAAGCGAACGCGTTGAAGTGGAGTTGAGCTGAATGGCAGGCTGGTTGAAACCTGGCATTTCTTGGTTACGCCCGGTAGGAGGGGGCTCATCGGGGTATGGGTTTCCTCCGCATCCATAAAAGGATTCCGGCCCCTGATACGAGCATCGATTCTAACTTGCTCCTTTCGTTCCTTCGTAGTATCATTTCGTAACAACTCTGCCGATAGCTCTGATATCCAAAATGATTAGCACTATAATAATGCACTATTGACATCCATGCTCGAGTCGTGTGCCTCTGGATATTGCTGACGGAGTATCACTGCGGAGGTCTGCATTCCGCTCCCGGCTGACTGCCGCGGGGCCAACGGAGGCTTAGCGGAATTCATGATCTATCATTACCCCCCCTATGACAGTCGCATTGTGAAACGATCTCCTTGTTATCAAGAAGACTATGAAGATTAGCAAAACTCTAACCCCGCATTTTCCTTATCATTGGGTCTGAGTTGCATGGAGAAAGACGAACTTGTAAGGAGGAATACCTTGGCGCTATCTTCATCAGGTGACGAACCACCCTGTAGTATTGCAGATATTACATGCCGCGCCCACATCCGGTCAGCCAGCAGCGTCGTCTAAGAGATATATAAAAGGAACCCTTCGAAAGGTCATCCGAAATCAGACGAGCCTGTCAACCTTTTTACTTTTCACCTGCAGTTGCATCTCCTCTTCACATGTCTTTGCTCTCAAACCTTGCCTTACGTATCACCAACTCCACCCCCGCAGCAACAGCAACACCAACAATGACCAACACAAGCAAAGTCGTCAAGGTGGCCGTCACCCAGGCCGAGCCCGCTTGGATCGACCTCCCAGCTGCTGTCGCAAAGACGTGCCAGCTCATCGCCGAGGCTGCCTCTAACGGGGCTCAGCTCATCGCCTTTCCCGAATGCTGGATCCCCGGTTACCCCGTGTGGATCTGGACCCGCCTCATCGACTTTGATCTCAACGTAAAGTACATCAAGAACTCGCTGCAGCTCGACTCGCCTGAGATGGCCACCATCCAGGCCTGCGCAAAGGAGAACAATATTGCCGTCTCGCTCGGATTCTCAGAGAATGACAACCACTCTCTCTTTATCGCACAGGCCCTCATCGGTCAAGATGGCGAGATCAAGGTGCACCGCCGCAAGATGAAGCCCACGCACATGGAGCGGACCATCTTTGGCGACGCGTCGGGCCACTGCTTGAAGAGCGTGGCTGAGCTACCGTTTGCGCGAGTCGGTTCTCTGGCTTGCTGGGAGCACATCCAGCCCCTTTTGAAGTATAACACGATTGCTCAAAAGGAGGAAATCCATGTCTCGGCATGGCCCAGCGTCACGCCTCATTCCGGCGGTGGCCCGGACATGTGGTCGATGAGCGCGGAAGGTATGTCACCACTAATGCCGTTCCGGGCGGAATTCGTTATTCCGATAATTCCGGAGACTTCACGAACTTGACCTAACCTGGATGATTAGGATGTCACAACCTCTCCCGCACATACGCTATTGAGTCAAACGCCTTTGTTCTCCACAGCACGGCGCTCATCTCCGAAAAGGGCATCGCGGCGCACAGCAGCGCGGGCGGCGCCATCATGTCCACCCCCGGCGGCGGAACCTCTGCCATCTTCGGCCCGGACGGCCGGAGGCTATCGGAGCCCGTCGATGAGAACACGGAGACCATTATCTACGGCGAGCTAGACTTTGATGCCATCCACAGGACAAAGATGTTTGCCGATTGCACCGGCCACTACAGCAGACCGGATCTTTTGAGGCTCAATGTGGATAAGGAGATTAAGATCCTGGTCAGGGCGGATGGTAGTGTCGCTAAGGTGCCGAAGGAGGAGGAGGAGGAGGCTGTGCTTGTTCTCTAGATACCTATTTCATAATTGCCATTTCTGTCCTTTTAGCAAACCAAACTTTTCATTCAGGAAAACTTCCGTCGCTTCGCCCGAGACTTCCTGGTCATTCAATCGCTACATAACACCGAGATTGCCACAAAGACCTTCCGAACCACTACAGAGTCTACGGAGTTTCGCAGTACCGATACATGGCATCCATGAGCCTGACGCTATACATATCCGAGACAATTTCCTGTCTATTGATTCGTTCATAACCCATTGTTAGTCGAAAGCCAATTGAAGTCTTCGCAATCCGTGAGCCCTTGAAAGGCCTGGAGAAAGTCAACAGTGCCCATAGCATTCGTCCGCTCACCGCTCAATCCAGAAACATCGAGAGTTCCCAGAGACGCAAAGGAGCTCATGTCCAAGGTGCTAAAGTCCACGGGTGGCGCATCAGCCGCAGTAGCGCCGTAGCCATCCCACTCATACTCAAACTGGACCTGGTTCACACCACTCAGATCCGCCTCGCCCATGTCCCTACTCCTGGATTGCGTAATATTCGCGCCCAAACCACTCTGAGCATCAGGCGCCATGGCAGCAGTCTGCTCGATCTGATAGCTAAACTCGATGGGTAAAGCCCTCATGACGCCCCACCGCTGCGCGAGCACGCGGATAATCTTGATGCTCTTGATCGCGCGGACGGGCCACGAGACCTGCAGCTCGCGCAGGAGCTCGAGACATTGCCGGAGCCAGTAGGTGCTCTGGTGCCGCAGCGCTGGTGTCCAGCTGGTCGCGTTCATGAGGTGCACGATGGCGGCGCTGAGGAGGTGGTGGATGATGACTGGGTTCGGGGAGATGTCAAAGCCGTGGGCGCGGCGGTAGGTCCGGACGAGGCGGGAGGTTGCTGTCGCTGCTGCGGTAAGGGAGCGGAGAACCAGGAGCATGAATTCCGAGTTTTGTCTCTTGCTGCTGCTGCTGCTGCTGCTGCTGCTGCTGTTGTTGTTGGTGTTTCCTGGCTCGGTTGTGTCTGAGTTTTGTGAGATTGCGGCGAAGATGCGGAGGAAAGGGGGCATGGTGATGAGAATTGTCATTTGGTAGGCTAGGTGGAATTGGATGACTGGTTTCGGGGTCGAGTCGCCCGAGAGATGGAGCCTATCATCGCGAGAGCGGAAGAAGGCGCTGAGTGCGTCTTGACTTGCTACGAGGATGCGGACCTGTTGCGGTATGGGTAGAGATTCAAAGTTTGTTGAGAAGCTGAGATCGGTCAATATCACTCACAAAGGTCCAACTTTTGAAACTTGTGTGGGAGACGGAGGAAGCAAGACTTACACCTGGTCCATGTACTGGTCATGTAGATACCACAATTTGCACTGCCATGCAAAAGATACTTGACCTAGGCCCGCCTTCGAGTTCTCAAAGGTCATCTCAAAGTCTGGCACGTTGACTCTGCGCCACGGCAATGCGCAATTACGGCCGAGAATCGATATCGCTGTCCGGTCAATGATGTAAAACATCCAAAAAGTGCGAATCTCCTGCTCCGTAGCCTCCAACTGCCTGGCTTCGCACTCGTCTAGCGCCAGAACGTGCAGTCTCAGATGTACGCACATGCCGGCGGCCATGGAGATGAACATCCAGCCGAAGTGGTCTCTCCCCATAGCCAATGAGCGCCAGGACATCATTGACAGCCCCTGGATGACCTTGAGTGTGGGATTCTGCCGGCAGCAGGTGAAGATGAGGCTTTCTGCAAACTGCGCGAATGCATCTCCTATGAGGGTGGCATCGGGTCTTCGTGTAAAGGTTGTGCCCGTTGCGATGATGGCACTGTGTAAGAAGACTTCATCCGGGGATTGGTAAGGGTAGCTGTGTAGAAAGTCGGTTGTCGTGTAGGGCGTGAATTGGTGTTCTTGGTTGATGTTTTCCAAAAAGAGATCCGCCATCTCGTGAATCAGGCCCTTTTGTCGACAGTAAACGAGAACCTGTTCTGGAGGGATGACTTGATGGGCCATAGGTACAGGTGGTCGTACGGGATCGACTGCGTAGTGAGACCCAGTGGCAGGGTCGTCGATGATGGTTACCCCGTCACCGACATTGGTTCTCCAAAGCATTACACACAGCTCTTCCATTGCCATCTGAGACCTCTCCTGTGTCCCTGAGTCCTTACTTGCACTACCTCCGTGGTCTTCTATGGAGACAACGTCTTTGGTGTCCTCGTCGTCGCCACCGACTGCGAGACCTTCAGTGGCGTCACCTCCATCGAGACTTTCTCGGAGGGTTGCATCGGGCTCTGCCGACTGAGATGCTCGGTCACTTAGAGACAGCGCTGGTGATGGCTCTTTCTCGACGCTTTGCTTCTCCAAGGCCAACAGCAGCGATTGTACTTGAGCTTCGAGGGCTCTGACATAGTCCTCATCCCAGTATTTCCGTCTGGATGATTACGTTAGCGACATTGTCCGGTGGCTACTTAGCATTACTTGTAGTTGACGTGAACTATAGGTAACTAGTAGGTGACACACTTTCTGGGGCGTTGCTCAGTGTAAACACATTCCCTGTTCTGCCTGCTGCACAAGGAGCATGCAGGACGGGCAGCATCGCACTGCCGACGGGAGAAACTCGTTAGTCACGGCAGTTCACGAAAGGACTAAGAGACTAGCAAGGGAGCTCGGGGAAGTTGGTCCTTCCCCGTGGGGTCTAGAATGGAGTCTAGAAATGGAGCAAAACTTTGGGAGAGTTCTTCTTCGCGTGCGGACGACCTACTTTTCGCTTCCCCGCCCTGCACCGGTCACAAGCGAAGCTTGTTGGTTTCTGGGACATGGCCGTGTTGGGAAGGGACCTGCTCGAGGCACTGGGGGGGGAATGTTTGTCGGATCTCAAAGTTGGTTTCTCTTCCCGGACGCGCGCAGCGCCGAGCAAGTAAGCTTACCCTTTCCTTTCTCGCGTCTGCAACAAAGGGGCCCGCGACGTTGGGGCGACTCACTTCATCCGGCTGCCAACGGTTTGTTTCCTTTCATCTGTGTAGATCGACCACACCCTCTCTGCAGGCGGACGAATCCAGAAAGAGGGGGGTGCGAGACCTTCTGGAAGACCTGATGGCAGGGCTTGAGTCGTTCGAAATGACTCTGCTGGCGAGCGACTGACGTCTCACGTAGGCGGTGTTGTTCGGTGGTTTATCTGCGGGGTGGAGACCTCCGCAGGATAAGCCCAGGGCGGACGGTGAATTGAGCATGTCATAAATGTCATAAATGGCACCGGGGCGGAGATGAGGGGTTTGCGAGACATTTCCCAGGGCACGAGGGGGCTGACAACCCTGATATGCTGAGTGGCTGCGGATGGTCGGAAAGATTTCCGATGCCCACGCTATAGACTTCCCAGCTGAACTCTGTATCTGTATGATGGTTTCTTTTTGTTCTGTGAAGAAAGGGGCCTTATCTTGGGGGATTTCTCAGATAAAGACCTCACGAGCGCGGGCCACAGCTCAGAAATAGTCTCGATGCGGAGAGTCAGGGTGGACGAGTCATGTGTTAAAGAGCTGTTGGCAACGCCTGACGAAGCGAACACCAGTGGTTGGTGTGCGCACACAAGACCACTATGAAGGTATCTATGTTTATTTTTATTTTATTTTTAGCTGTGTAGACAAAATCATTCATATAGAACAGATCGTAGCTGAGTGCGCTATCATAAGGCCCGCCGCGAAGCATTGATGGGCTGGAAAACAATGCGTTGCGGTGAGAGGGGCTAAATTTGAGAACGTTCGACGTTGCTAGCAGAAAATCTACTCTTGGCACGAGATGGTCTGAACCTACTCTGTGCATAGAGGAACATGACGAATTTAATAGGTCTCTCTCGATTGGAACACGTGTTTTAATTGGGCGTAATAATAATGCCTCTCCTCACTTCGGACCCATGCGAGTAGGAATGTATGGAGTCAACAGTGTGGAAGCAACATGTGTTGTTATGTCGAAGTCTTCTCTTCAATTCTTGAATGCGTCGCCTGTTAAATTCTGAATGGCCTCAAGTCGTCCGCTCACTTGCTGCTATTTACTTTATGCGTGAACTCTGTATCCTTGAGTTACACGGCAGCGTTAGTTCACACTGGTGTATTACCTACTCAAGATGACTGCAATCATTCTGTATGAGAATATTGAGGCATATTTATCCACATGTCAGCATTTTCTTGCAAATAAAGGGGTGACAACGCCCATAGCCGCGCGAAACAGGCTGACAGAATTAAAACAAAACCTTTGCAGTCTACCTTGCTAATTAATCTGCGCGCATATCATTCATATGTAATGTTTTTCGAGTGAAAAAATAACATCATCATTGAAGTAGAGGGCTTTATTGACTGAAGTAGCGGGTTGCGAACACAGCCGTGACCGTGCAAGCTGATGTGGGAATATAATGTTTCTCAGCACGTTAACTCTGTGTACTATCGAGCCCCCGACAATGTTCACATGTGATTAAGGGGGGTTCGTTGTCATTTTCGGGCCAGATAGAAGTGGTAGTCACAATAGGATCCTCAGGACTTGTAAAGTTGAGATTGTCATTTACCTTTGTGCCAAACGAAATACCGAGAGAGAATTTGAATAATGCCAAAGCAAACAAGAGTAAGCCTTCTCTTCATAAATCCCGCATTCAAGGGTGATGTCTAGGCCAATCCTTCGAACATCAACCACGGGAAGCTGCCATCCTCCTCACTCGTTGGACAAGATCTACCCAGTAATCACAAAACTTTTACCAAACAGCATGAGGATCAATCGCGAAGTCATCGCAACATCAGATCCTACGGCAGTATCACTTCAGAATTCCACGAATAAGCATGCAGCATTCTTCTCAATCCTTCTATAAAGTTCCTATGGTAGTCTTGGCGGCTCACGAGGTGGTATGGATAAGCGGCTTTACGTAGGCTTACTGCATTAGGACGTACGAGCCTATAAGATGTCGATCGAAAGTGGCGTTCGAAGTGATGACTTGGGGCGCATGTCCAGATAGTCTCCAATGTCATGATCCCCCCAATCCGGCTAATGTCAAACCACAAGCGATCGTGTTGAGCGGGCCAATACCTGGTATCGTGTATGATCGAAGGTGTTGGTCACAAGATAGCAGCTCCTTCCTCACAAGAAATATGTCTTAGCGGTATGATATGAGTTTCCCCATTCGTGGAATATATGTCGTTTGTTTGAAGGAGCCAAACGTACACACGATTGGCCACAGACTTGCGCGCCTCGCAGCTAGAATTTGCAAACCCCCTCTTAGAAATTGACACAAAGGGGGAGACAAATGGCTCAGAACAAAAGCGATATTAATACAGCTGGGTATAAAGAGGCGCAGAATCCTCGTTTCCATAGGCATAACTCAATCCTGTCAAGCCATCATCATCCCCGAACAACACTGTATTCTGGTTTTCAAGTTTGATTAAACTTCATTATTGTAGGTTCCATCACTGTCACACCATATGTATCTCAAACGATTCATTGAATGGTTTCAATGACGTCAAATAAGCATCGCAACAACTGAAGTTGTTCTAACAAATTCAGGTTCCCACAACTGCTCACACCCACCCATCCGAAATGAAGTTCATCGCTGCTGTCGCTGTTGCTTTGGCGTCTTTCGCCATGGCTGCACCTAACCCCGGAGGCCAGACAACTTCAATCAAGCTCAGCAAGGACTATGTCGACGCCATTATAGCCGCGTATCCCGACGTCCATAAGCGTGACTGTAGCTTCGACTTCAGCTGTGGCTGCATCTTCTGCGTCTAGTGTTGCTTAAGGCAAGGCTACAGGCGTCACATAATTGTTGAAGGGTAGTCTGCTTGGTACGCTCTAGCGCGGATGGACACATGTATATCTACGGGGAGCTTACGAGATATCAATGTATCATGGAATCAACTGAGATTGAGGTTTCCAACGGTTGATTGTCTTGTAGGCGTTGGAGATACTGCTGATAGTATATCACGTTCTTGATGGCAACAAGTTCAAACAGACAAGTGTGAATGTGAATGACTACTTCATTTTGCCTTGTCTTGATTGTATCTTGGGTACCTACCTTGGAAGACGATACATGTAGTCTATGGCTATAAGAAGAAAGAGCAAAGCAAAACCAATTCGAAGAATGCAAATTCCATTTAAAGCTGCGACAAGCACATTATCTTATCTGGTTGCAATCTCTAGCTTTTCGAAACGGCGGTTGCGCAAACCGGCGCTTACGCGGTTCCCTCGTACCATTTCACAGTCCAGTCAGGCCAGCATCCGTTTCAAACTTTTGGTGGAGATGATTGACTGCGACGTAAGTCGGAACGGTCGATCACCGACGCGAATCCGAGCACAGAGCATTGTTCCGCTCTACCGGCCGACAAGCTCTGCCCCTCCTCGGCGCCGACCGATCGGAGTCCGGCAGCACACGCCAAGGCTAGGACGGGAAGACCCGCGCCGGGAAACTGCTCCGGGAAAGCGGGGCGGCCTCCGTCTGCCGCACGTGGACGCCGAGGAGAACGGGCAGGAGACGATGCTCCGCCCTCTTCCTTCCCTCCTGCCCGTGCAGCTGCCCGTGTTCGCAGATTATCCTTCCACGAGCTGTTGTTGGTGTTTCCATCTCATTCTTCGATGCCGCAATGATGATGAATCCACGGCCGAGGAGTACGAGTACCGCATTGATGACGTCAGGAGGGGAACTTTGGTCTCTGTCAAAGCCAACGGATTCCCCTCAAACTCCACCAAGGAATGAAGGGAAAAGGCACGATATTATGAACAAGTGTTAAACCTGAGCAGATCTCATTCAACCTCAAGCCCGAGTACTCAAGTCTTGAACGAATCGAGCAGGTTATTGCCTAGAGCATCACTGCAATCTCGCTTATCGAACACGATGGCTACCAAGCCGGACGCAAATGCCGGAGATCCCATCAGCACCAAGAACCAATTGCTCAATGCTGGCGCTTCGGTAGTGCAAGTAAGTTCTCACTCTCTGACGGATTGCTCTCACGGTGTTACGGTCTCTGACACCAGAACAGGATTTCGCACCATTAAGCAATATCTGCGCTCACCTCAACGCCTTTCACGCATATGCCTCTGACCCCACACGCGTGGTAGAGGCAAACCATTACTGCGGGCACTTGAACGAAGACGTCCGTCAATGCATACTCTACGATAGCCCCGAGAAGAATGCACGCATCATAGGCATCGAGTACATGATCACCCCTAAGCTCTACGAAACCTTGGACTCGGAGGAGCGTAAGCTCTGGCACAGCCATGTGTATGAGGTCAAGTCAGGCATGCTCATCATGCCACAGGGAAACCTGCCGGACCTGGCTTGGCAGACGGCAGAGAATAAGGAGATGGAGCAGGTCGTTCAGCTATATGGAAAAGTGTTCCACCTCTGGCAGGTCGACAAAGGCCACCAACTGCCCTTGGGCGAACCGCAACTCATGACAAGCTTCACTCAGCCCGGCCAATTGGACTTTGCCAAGTACGTTGGCGACAGAGATCGAAGGTTCAACTCAGACTATAAGCAAAAAGAGGAGGCTCGGAAGCATATTGCGAGCCCGTCGGTTCATCCCGACGCTGACCAAGCCTGGAAGGAGAAGGACGGGAACAAGGGAGTCTCGTAATGAAAACTGTCAAACACTGATGAGGTTGATGCGACAACGATTACATCGGGGCTGTTGCATGCAAGTAAAAAAAGGTAATCTGCGAGGTTGATGCATCGCTTCCCGCCGAGGATACCACCGTTTAACATTATCAACTATTGACCAGTCGCATAAGGTTGCAGGCGGGTCGAACAGGAGTTGTTCCTGGCGGGAGGCGGCGGAGGGGCGGCGGACATTGCAGGTAATAGGTTAGTCATATGGGCAAACACGGGCTATTTGAGAGATCAGAGACGAGCACTAAGGTTTTACGGTTGCGGAGGGCAGCGCGAGGCGAGATTGATCCCATCTAAAATCCCATTATGATTTATTTCACCCCCCCGGAGGCTAGGGGCCCGGTCGCGAGACCAGAGGTTGTGGATATCAGAAGCCAGACGGTTGGCGAGTGACGAGTGACGACACAGAACTGGCCCAGAGTAAAATGCCGAGCTATCCCCTTTTACTCTCTCATGGCTCGATGTCGTTGCTTCAGATTCGTCTCGAAACGTCCCTTCTTTTGAGTCCATTCCCCCCCTCCACCTCCAGTGACCAGTCTCCTCTCTTCACGCTCGACGCAGCCCACCCACTTGAGGCTGCTGGTGATCGAATGACACCTGCTCTTGGCTTCCCATATGTGGGCCAGGGGTGAAACGTGAAGGGTAGATCCTGGTCTGAAGATCCCAGGTGCCAGCAGGGATGGGACGACTCCTTGCAGCAATCTTGTGGATCTCGCGCGTCTCCTTTCCGTTACGGAGAATTTTTAGGGTAGTGGTGCCAGCGGCTGGCAATCTACGCGGAACCGCTCGCCGGAAGAGAGAGACAGAGAGCGTGAGAGCGTGAGAGCAGGAGGAGGTTCTGGACTGATGCTGGCGGACAGAAGAGCGCGCTACTTGCCGGTGCGGCACCCCGAAGCACGCGAGAAAAATGCAGTGTACGGAGTATTCCAGGTCCCCTTCCACACACTTCCCATGCATGCTATGCAAGGTACGCTCGCAAGCCTTCAGGTACCCGTCCGCTAAATTGTACCTTAAGTGGCATACGGGGATGCCGGTGGGAGGAGATAGATTGCTCCCCAGACTCACCAAGAACAGAGTTCACTATCGGTAGGGCTTCTCTGCTCGATAAACTGTACTCCAACTCTCTCTCCACGCTCATGACTGGAGCCAAGTGGTCTTGGCTACAGACCAAGCAAGTCGAGTCGAAGCTGATCTCCCGAAGCGCACTCTTCTTACCTATCAGTAGCGCTGATCACCAAGGACCAAGCAAAATGAGGCTCAGCTGAATAAATTGTTCCCCCATCTTCTCGTCCGTCGGACTAGCGTGTACGCCACGATCTGGGTTGGGATCTGACGGATTACCCGTCCCGTCGCGCGTCCGTGGCTCCTTTTGGGCTACGATGGCGACCAGCCTTCGGCCGGTCTCCGAGCGCGAGTCTCAGAATGGGGGTAATACACCAGACGAGTTCCCACGTTCTCTGCTTCCTACCCGCGTCGGGAAGAGCCCACGCTTGCGCCTGTCAACGTCAAGGCCTCAGGAATGGGACGAAAGGGGGAGGGGAGGGGGGTAAGGAGACGAAGAGAGAAAACAAGAGCGAGACTGGGAGACTCCAGAGACTGAGAGCGACGAGAAGCGTGTGAGAGCGTGAGAGCCGGCTCACCTCGCCCGTCTCGCCGCGGCACCGCTTCTGGCTGTCGTATGCGCGCTTTGGTGCTTTTGTTCTTGGCGTCTGTATCACCTCCTCGAGTCTGTGACCCCCTTTGGGCCGAGGACAGATGGGACTATCCTGGGAAACAGACGAATGGGACAGCGCTGACCCCCGGGAGAAAACAGGGCCGTATGCGAAATCGTTGCTCAAAGCGTCCAGAGTTCAGCGAGCAAACCGCAACCTTTCAACTCTCGCCAGGCTTCCCGCCCTCCACTCCGTCGACACTGTCGACTAGGAAGTCTGCAGTCCGCTGCCGTTGTCAGAATTGCTTACTATGGAATCTCCTAATGCTCTATGAAACACGCTCGCCTCTTCAGAACAGCGCCCCCCCAGCGCGTAATCGTCCGACCTTTTTCTTTCCATCTGTCTCGGCCCTGCCAAACACGGCTAGTCGCCGTTTATGAAAACTAGTGGTTGACTCGCCGTCACTATGTCCGTCAATCGACAAGGATCATGAGCCAAAACCCTCCTTCAGATCCACCGTCACTGAACTTCTGCCCCAGTGTGCCCCCATGTGAGCCTCCTCCTCCTCCTCCTCCAACCGCCTCGCTACCGGCCGCTTGACCAGGTCTCGAACCAACGCGAACTGCACTGCACCATGGTGACCATGCTATTACTGCCCATACTGGTGGCCACTCTCATCCACTTCAACCTCGAGTGAGGTCCTGACCCCCCCAAGGTTCCATGGCTCGTCCCTTTCTCCCCCTACCACACACCACCACCACCACCACCCCCTTCAGTCCCCTACCCTCCATCTGCCAAGATACGTCGGGTTCAGGGTTAGGTCGCGACTCCGCCCAGCACCACAGCCTTGCGACAAGAGGTGTTGCAGATGATCTGAGCAGATCAGCGTACATCATGGGCTGGTCGACGTTTGGCAGTGTTTGCGTCGTTTCGGTCCTCGACCGCGAGCCTTCGTATAAGACGACCTTTTCACGGCCTCGTCTCGTGTTTAAGTTTCCCTTTCCCTTCTCTCTACCCACACATCATATCATCCTCCTCTGCGCCTACGCTCTTTCACCGGGCTTTTCCGTTTTTCCTTCTCTTCTTTTCACTTCTCCCTTCACTTCGTTCCTTTAATCGTGCTGGCACATTCCGACTTAGTCTCTGCGAGACAAGATGCTTTCTTTCACGGATATTGTAATCGGCTCGGCCTTCCTGGCCGTTGCCCATGGCCACGCTGCCATTCTCGGTGCTCAGGGAGACGCCGGCTCACCTGCTAGTGTCGGGTTCCTGGGTATGTTTTGCGCCGAAGGGGAACGAGCGGAAAGAGGATATCACGATCTTTGATACTAACCCTAATATTCAGTCGACCCGAACATTGCCCGTAACTGCACGACGATCAACCCCTGCCAGCAGGACGCCACGATTATCCGTGATGCCGAGATTAACAACAACGTCGTCAACGAGTGCGGACGCACCGAGATTGCTGGCAACATCGACATTGGCGAGAACACCGAGAACGCCCTGGCAGCGAACCAGGTTACGCAGGTTAAAGCGGGCGGCACGGTCACAGTCACTATTCACCAGGTCAACGCCGATGGTGCTGGTCCATTCTCATGCGATTTGGATCAGACGAGCAACTCCCTCGCCGGCACCGGCCAGATTCCTCTCGAGGTCACCAACAACGTCCCCGGCACCAACGGTTTCTCCCAGGCAAAGGCTCAGCAGTTCAACGTCACTGTCAAGATGCCTGCTGACATGAAGTGCACTGGAGGTTAGTCGAGCAAAACTCTTCGTCAGTTTGGTATCAAAACTAATATGACTTCATAGCCTCTACTGGAAACGTCTGCACTGTTCGCTGCCGTAACAACGCCGTCGCCGGTCCCTTCGGTGGCTGCTTCCCCGTCCAGCAGACCGATGTCACTCCTACCCAGAACACTCCTCAGAACATCCAGACCGCCGCCAAGTTGAAGGGTGTTCTCTCGCAGGTTCAGCAGGATATCCAGGACTTCCCCGCCGCCGCCGCCGCCAACCAAAAAGACGGAACCCCCGAGCAGCTTGCCGCCACTGACGCCGCCAACAAGGTTCTGGGCGCTCCCCCTGTCACCGTCAAGGAGTTCCCCGTCGAGAACACCGGCCCCAGCCAGACCGGAGGCAACACCGCCACTGCTCCCCCTGCCGCTGACCCCAACGCCGGCAACGGTAACGCCAACGCTGGCAACGGCAACGCAAACACTGGAAACAACGGCGGTAACGCCGGCAATGCCGGAAACGCCGGCGGCAACGGACGTGCACGCGGCAAGGGCCGGGCTGGCAAGCGTGGCAGAGCCGCCAAGCGTGAGGAGAACGGATCCCTTCGATGGGCCAAGCGCTACGTCGTGCCCGGTGCCGACTTCCAGCCTGAGGTCATGCCATGAAGGGGATCTTCTTAGAATGAGAAGTTTCAGCTTCTTTGCTGCTAGCTGACGGTAGACGAGCGCTCTGAGCCGTTTCTTTCCCTTTTTTCACGTGGTAGTCGTCAAAAAATTGTGGTTTTTCCTCCTAATTCAAAGTCTCACTTACAAGTACAATCCTCTTTGTTGAGCGAGCGCACAGAGACACACAAAACCGCGGCGAACTCAAATCTTGGGAAGAAGGGCAAAAGCGGCAAACTTTACTTTGCTTTGCTTTGCGGAGGCCTGGAGAGCGGTTGCGAGTCTTTTTTTTACACCCAATACATCTTTTTTTACTCTTTACTTGTGTGTACACATTATAAAAAAATTTCATAGCCATGATTTGATGCCAAATCGTCTGCTGTGCTTTTGTGCAATAACTTGATGATGTTGAGAATTGAACAATACTAACACACTGGGAACTGAGGGCTCTGCAGCAAACTGTCGACTCCCAACCAAATCTGGCAATGACGACGAATCCGAGACGCTCGCACAGAGGCAGAATTTCCTCTTTCCGCCTTCACTCGGGTGTTTTTGCCAATATACCATAGGCCGGGGCCTGCAGCCGAGCTGTGCATCCCAAAAAAGACGTGACTTTGCGTTCCTGAAACCGAGGTGGTGGAGTTCCAAGAGTCTTTTTTCCCTTTCGCCCGGTGTTAAACAAACCATAGCCCGTTATTTCCCTGCTGTGCCTCCCACCCCATCAACCCGTCGTGTTCGAAGAGTCCCGTGCTGAAACGCACAGATGCTACGGATAGTCAGCGATGCAGGGCCGGCCGGATAAGACCAGGCGCATGGTCGTACGATGGGGGACACATGCAGTCTTCTCCATTGGGAATGCGAGGCGGCGAGTTCAATGCTACAAGCATGTGGCAATCCCGCCGGTGCTGATACAAGCAAGACAG